ATAACTGTCATCTCCGTAGTGCTTTAAGGCTGACAAAGTTCCTAGCGTGGATTATCTCATTCGATCCTCACACCATCCAGCTGAGGTTGTCACTAATAGCATCCCCATTTTACTGATTGTCCCCACGCTCTATGGCAGAATTTGAACTCTGGTCCTTCAGACTCCAAGTCTAGTGCTTTATCCATTATACCAGCTTGGTGGCCTCTGGGTTTGAATCCTGCCTTGGACACTTTCTAGCTGTGTGAACCCAGGCCAGTTACTTAACCCTCTGTGCCTCAGTTTCCTCATCTGTAAAAATTGGGGATTAGACTCGATGGTCTTTAAAGGCCCTTCTATTCACACAGCTCTGACCCTGTGAATTGCCAGGCAATGCTCCTGGACGAGGTAGAGACTTGATCTGGGCCTTAAGGAGGGGGTAAATCGTAGAAGCTGCTCGACTCCCTGAGTGTTAGAGGTTCCACAGCCTGCCCCAGGTCAGCCCTTGATCCTTCCCACAGGCCCGGGGGAGATGGGCTACAAGAATCATTCTCCCTATTTTCCAAATGCCTCTGAAGGACTGACATGCTGCAAGTGAGAGACACAGCCTGAGCAAATGTGCAGGGGTGGGAGCTGACCTCAGCACCTGCTGCGGTATACACTGCCAGGCTAGCTTGGCAGGGGTGGTAAGCAGAGCCAGGGAGTACGGGCAGGCGCCCAACATCAAACAGCTGGGGGGAACTTTGATCACAGGTGTCTCGATGCAGCCGTCTGCATCTCTGCTCTGATTATAGGGTGGCCCCCCGAGGCCTCCATTTCCCCTGGCAGGCACCAGCACCCGGGTCCTCTGCAGGGATCCAGGGTGGGCCCAAGCCATCTGCTTCCTTCTGCATCACCAAGGAGTCTTACAGGGAAGAAAAGCAAAGGCTTCCGTTCTTTGACTGCCGGCAGGCTCTGGAGACAGAGACCAAGGCCCCTGGCTCGGGATCCCAGTGTGGGGACCCGCTTTTCAGTCGCTCTCCCCAGGACCGAAGGCTGAGTAACACCCCAGAAGCCAGGTAGGGCCCTGTGGGGAACAGTGAGTCCCTGGGTGGCAGAGGGAGGAGGCAGGTTCAGCCATGGCCTGCCGGGATTCCTCAGGGCTGTCCCCAGAATTGAGGGGGGCGCAGCTTCCAAACTCCCAGAGAGGGCTCCTGTTCTCCATGGACCCTGGCCAAGGGGTCCCTGTCCTGAAAGCCAGGAAGAGAAACCACGCCCTCTCCCCGCCTCAGTCTAGCCCCAAGTCTTAGACATAAGCTGACTTCACGTACTGGGGGGTCAAGGGGGCTTTCATTCTATCACATGTCAACAATTCACTCATAATCACCCCCCCCAAGATTGCCCAGGGCGAGTATCTAGTTTGATGGGCACTCTGGGAGGGGGGTGGCAAAGAGGCCACACACTGCTGCTTTCTTAGTTTCTTAGGATCTACTCTGCCTCAAGCTATCTCTCTGTCTCTTTCTGTCTCTATCTCTCTCTCTCTCTCACCCCTCCATCCCTCTTCCTCTTTGTCTTTGTCTCTCTGTCTGTTTCTCTCTCTTCCTCTCTGTCTCCCCCTCCTCTGTCTCCCCCCTCCTCTCTGTTGCTCTCTCTCCTATATCTGTCTCCCTCCCACCTCCATCTCTTTCTTTCTCTTCATATCTCCCTCCTTGCCTGCTTCCCCCCTTCCTCATGTTTCTCCTCTATTTACCTAGTCCTATTTCTACCCTCTCTTTTTCCTGCTGTCTCTGTATCTGTTCCCCCAACTCTCCCTCTGTCCCTGTCTTTCCTTTGTCTCTGTCTCTCCTTCTGTTTCTCTCTCATCTTCCCTGCTGCCTTCTCGTCTGTCTCTCTTACTTTCCTGCTTTCTCCTCCCACCTTTCCCTCTGTCTTCATTTCTCTTCCTGTCTCTCTTCACCTCTGTCTGCCCTTTCCTTTGTGCCGTCTGTCTTCCCACCTTCCCCTCACTCTCTCTCTCAGTCTTCCCTGGCCCTCCTATATTCCCTGAGTCTCCTCATCCCCCCTGTTTCCCCCTGCTCCCCCTCTGTCTCCCTCTCTGCCCTGCCTCTCCATCTGTCTGCTGTCTGTCTGTCCCTGCAATTTACTTTCTTCCCTTGCCTGGCTTTTCTTTTGCTCCCTCGGTCTTCCCACGTCCTTCCCTCTGTGTCTACCTTCCTCTAGCTCCTCACTTTTCCTGGCTGTCTCTCCCATCTTGGCTGTCTCTGTCTACCTTTTCACTCTCTCTCTGCCTGTCTCCCCATCTCCATCTCTGCCTGCCTTCTCCCTCAGTATCTGTTTTACTCAAGGTGACCATGGGCAAGTCCCATCACCTCTTTGAGCCTCAGTTTCCCCATGTGCAAAGCAGATAGCCACACCTATAGTACCTCCCTCACAGAGTTGTATGATTTAATTGACAAGCATTTATTAGCTTCCTGTTGTGTGCCAGGGGCTGTGCTGGTGCTGGGGATACCAAGACCAAAATGGACAGTGAGAAGGGCTCTAGCTCTGGAATCAGCGGATTTGGGTTCAAATGCCGCCTATCTCTAATGTGTATTCATTATGTGATTTTAAGCTAGTCACTTAACCTCACTGGACCTTTCTGTAAAATGAGGAGGTTGGCTTAGATATGGCCCCTTGGAGCTCCAGAGCTATCATCCCACAGAACAGTCCCTGCCCTTGAGAAGCTTACATTCTAATGGTGGAGACAGAATGGATACATGGAAGCCTATAGAAAAAGAACCCAAGATCGTGTGGGGAGGGAGGCTCTGGCAGCTGGGCCCTGGGGGATTAGGAGAGACCTCGGATAAAGCTGATCATAGGGGCCGCTAGGTGGCACAGTGGATAAGCACAGGACCTGAAGTCAGGAGGACCTGAGTTCAAATCTGGCCTCAGAGCAAACACTTGATACTTACCAGCTGTGTGATCCTGGACAAGTCACTTAACCCCAATTGCCTTTAAAAAAATTTCAAAAAACAAAAGAATAGAGCTGATCATGGAGGCCTGGGACTATTTCTCCTTGTTCATTGTAGAGTAGGCCCCCTGGCAACCTGACTGCTATATCTCCTCAGTAGAATGTAAGCTCCCTGAGGGCAAGGATTTGTTTCATTCTTGTCTTGGCAACCCTATTGCCTAACACATTGTTATTCAGCCTTGTCTGACTCTTCATGACCCCATTCCCAGGTCATTTTACAGATGAGGAAACTGAGGCAAACAGGGTGAAGTGACTTGCCCAGGGTCACACAGCTAGTGAGTGTCTGAGAATGGATTTGAATTCCAGAAAATGAGTTTTCCTTACTCCAGGCCCAGTGCTCTGTGCGCCATGGCGCCCCCTAGCAGCCTTGCCTATCACAGCGGGAACTTAATAAATACTGGTTTGTAGCTTGCCTGATTACACTTCTATCTGCTGCTGCTCAGGTCGAGTGTAAGCTTCTTGCAGGTGGGAACAGAGCCTTTGTATTCCCAGAGCCTAGCGCAATGCCTGGCACACAGTAGGCCCTAAATAAACCAGGGATGCCAGAGGCAGAGAGAAGGCGGGTGGCATTCTAGGGCCAGACCTGGGAGCCCTCTATCAATTTCAGCCATGCTTAGTCAGGCCTGCAGCACGTTGCCATCTGCAGCCAGCCGGAGGTCCTACCAGAACATTCTCCGAGGTGAGCCTTCCCTCCCCCCGGCCTGGCCTTCCTGGCTCTTCTACATTAATTACCTTGGTGGCACCCCAGACTCTTCACTCTCACAACCAATCAGTCACCAAGGCCTGGGGATTCCACCCCTTCCTCAAGCCCCCTTCTCTCCATGCCCAGCACCTGCGCTCTGGGTCCAGTCCTCATTGGCTACCCTCTTGGGCGTCTGCAGCAGCCTTCCACCGATGTTCTCTCCTCCCTCCAGCCTCACCTTCATCCCACTGACAAAACCTTCTTTTGTGCGGACCTGGTCCTATCTCTCCATAGCTCAAAAAACTTTCAATGGCTCCTACTGCCCTGCCAGTAAAGTTTAGACTCCTTTGCCCAGCATTTGGAGCCTTTTGCAGTCAGGTTGGCCCTACCTCAGCCTTGGTAAATACTTAATAAATTCTGATTGACTGACTCTTCAGCCCTATGTCACATCGCTCCTTGCCAGGACTCACCATTCCAGCCAGACAAGTCTACTCTCCTTCCTCAAAACATACCCCATGTCCTCCCTCCCATGTCTTGGCCTTTAGTCATGGGGCTCCCTGTGCCTGGAATGGCTTCCCCTCCCCTCTTCACCTGGTGAATTCCTACCCACCTCTTAAAGTGTGATTCAAAGGCCAGTTCTTGGAAGCCTTGCCTGCCTGCCTGTCTGTGTCTGTCTCCTCCCTCTCTCTTCTCTGCACGTGTGTGTGTCTCCCCTCCCCTCCTCTTCTCCTCTCCTCTCTCTCCCTCCTTCTGTCTCTGTCTCTCTTTCTGTCTCTGTGTGTGTGTCTCCCTCCTCTCCTCCCCTCTCCTCCCCTCCCCTCCTCTTCTCCTCTCCTCTCTCTCCCTCCTTCTGTCTCTGTCTCTCTATCTGTCTGTGTATACGTGTCTCCTCTCCTCCCCTCCCCTTCCCTCCCTTCCCCTCCTCTCCTCTCCCCTCCTTTCCTCCTCTCTTCTCTCTCCCTCCTTCTGTCTCTGTCTCTCTCTCTCTGTCTCTGTGTGTGTCTCCCCTCCTCTCCTCTCCTCCCCTCCTCTTCTCCTCTCTTCTCTCTCCCTCCTTCTGTCTCTGTCTCTGTGTGTGTGTCTCCCCTCCCCTCCTCTCCCCTCCCCTCCTCTTCTCCTCTCCTCTCTCTCCCTCTTTCTGTCTCTGTCTCTCTCTCTGTCTGTGTATACGTGTCTCCTCTCCTCCCCTCCCCTCCCCTTCCTTCCTTTCCCCTCCTCTCCTCTCCCCTCCTCTTCTCCTCTCCTCTGTCTCCCTCCTTCTGTCTCTGTCTCTGTGTGTGTCTCCCCTCCCCTCCTCTCCTCCCCTCCTCTCCCCTCCCCTCCTTTTCTCCTCTCCTCTGTCTCCCTCCTTCTGTCTCTGTCTCTCTGTCTCTGTGTGTGTGTGTCTTGTCTCCTCCCCTCCCCTCCCCTCTCCCCCTCCTTCTGCCTCTGTTCCCATCTCCGGCTGCCAGGTTTTCAGCATCTCCGACTCTCGGCCTGGGTCTCCCCGCCCCGGCCCCTCCTCCGGCCCCTCCTCCCGGCCCTGCCCCCGCCCCCCCGGCCCGCCCCCGGCCCTCCGCAGCCTGCAGAGGGCGTCCCCGGGCCGGGGCCGGCGCCGGGCCGGTGTTTGTGTCGCTGTCCGGCCGGGCGGGTCCAGAGCTAAGCGTTCGGAACTCCGGCCGGGTGCCCCCCTCGCGCGCTGCGCCCCGTGCGCTCTCCGCGGCCGCGCCGCCACGTTCCGTGCGCCCATGGCCGGCCCCGCGCTCCTGCGGCCCGGGCCGCCCCCGCCGCCGCCGCTTCTGCTGCTGCTGGCTGCGCTGCTGCCCCTCGGCCTGGGCCTGGGCCTGGGCAGCCCCGGGTGCGGAGCGCGAGTGGACGTGTGGCTGCGGCGGCCGCAGGCCAGCTACACTCTGCAGGGCGCCCTGCTGGGCGGGCCCCCGCGCATCGCCCCGCCGTCGCCCGGAGCCGGAGCCGGAGCCGGACTGCAGGGCCGCCTGGTGCTGGTGAGCCCGCGTCCCCCACCACCCGGGGACCCGACGCCCTGGGGGCAGGGAGGAGTGATGGGGCCAGACCTCCCCGAGACTGCCCCCTTCCTCCCCTCCCAGCCCAGGGAGCCCCTGACCCCTAATGGGCCCCATCCCTGATCCCTTCTTGGGACACTACCCAAAGGGGGTGGAGAGGGGCAGACCATCCTCCCCTGCCCCAAGGCCCGCCAGGTAGTACCTAAGCCTGGCCCCGGGAGCCGCGAGCCCAGGGACCCCCAAGCCCCTCTCCCCACCGACGCTCCCTAACCCTAAGTGGAGCCCTCTACCCCAAGCCCCTGAAGCCCAGACTTCTCCAGGCACTTGCACTGCCCTACCAAGTCCAGCCAGGACCTCCCACCCTGAGCCCTAGGGCCCCAGACCTGTGTGAGTGCGGGTCAAAAGGCCATGACCTCCGCCCCACTCCTAATGGGTACCTGCTGAGGCCAGGATGACTCCTCTCAGTTCCAAGGCCCCACCCACATTTCTCAAGCCCAAGGGACTCCGAGCTTCCTGGACCAATTGTCCCCAGCTGGGACCAGAGCTAACTGAGTCCTGACCAACGTCTACCACAATGAGCCCAGCCCAGGGGACTATGACCTCCCTAAACCATCCTCCCACCCCACAACATTAGGCCCTACCCCCAAGGCTGGCTAGGGACTTTCTATCCTAAGCCCCAGGGGGTCACAGACCTGCCTAAACCATTCACTCCTCCCAAGCCTTGGCCCAGAATCCCCACCTGACCCTAGGCCGCAGATAGGTCCCCCCACTCCAGCCAAATATCCCTCTCCTGCCATCAGTGCACCCCCTTTGATGGATGAGCAAATGGAGGCCCCAGGTGGCAGAGGCAGGCTTTGAACCCAGGCCTTCTATAATCTAGCATTCATTTCACTGAGCCCTGCCCCTGGCCCCAAACAGCTGCCAGCCCAGACCCAGCTACCCCTGCCCTAAACTGTGGGATTGGCCTTGGATTATTCCTTTCATAGCCCAGACCCTGGTTCCAAAGGCTCGCCCTCGAGCCCCTGGGGTCCCTGTCAGATTCAGACACTAAAGACCCTGGTCCCAACCCCAATCCCCAAACCTGATCTTCAGACCTCTGCCCCTGGATACCCAGAGCCCAAACAAAGCCCAGACTCTCAGACCCTTGAACCTGCTCTATGTCCCAGGACCATCCTCCCGATCTCCCCAACCCCAGACACCCCAGATTTGGGCCCCAAAGGCCTCTGCTCTAGAGGGGAAAATACTGAGCCTGCAGACCTGGGTTAGATTCCTCACTCTGCTCCCTCCAAGCTGTATGAGGCTGAGCCGGAGGAATGATGGCTTTGGAGGCCCTTCCAGGGCTAAATATATGAGCCTGCTATTTTGAAAGTAGCACCCACTCCCACCCCATCAGGACTCCAGATGAAGTCACCGGCCCTCACACAGCAGCCGCCAGCATGCCAGCCCCTCCCCAGGCTGACCCAGGCCCACCTGGCTCAGCCCCAGCCCTTCCCATGCCTCCCCCTCTCACAGTCCTCCATGGCCCTAGGTGGGGGATGAGGAGCCCCAGCTTCAAGCCGGTGATGACTGGATTGGAGTGGTCCCAGTGGGTGAGGAGCAGGTGGAGGCCCAGGGAACTGGCCCTGAGGAGTCCTTCACCTCCGCTGTGGTCAACAAGGTAATGTTGCTGGAAGGCCAGGCTGGGAGGGAGGGCCAGAGAGGGGCCCTGGGTCAATGGACGGGGGAGAGAGCTGCTGCTCTCAGGGAGGACTTCCCGGAGGAGGCAGGCCTAGGGGCCTAAGCGGGCTTCCTGCCCAGGAGGCCCAGTGGGATGAGAGGGGGGGATCCCCAGTGCTTCCAGCCCCGGGGGGGGGGCTCGGGGACACCACTTCTCTGCCTCTGTCCTGCTCCCACAGATGAAGCGAGCTCTGGTCCTAGGAGCTTCTGCCCTGCTCATCCTGGCCTTGAATCAGAATGCCGTCCGAGAGGTAGGCCGGGCTGGCCGGGGCATGGGTGAGGCTGGGAGGCTGCCTGGGGAGGAGCCCCAGCCCACACACTGACCCCTGTGTTCCTGCTCACCGAGAAGCTGGATGTGTCCCAAGTCCTTTCCAAGCCGATCATTGTGGTCCAGATGTCTGATAACGTCACTAAACTCCTGAGCGCCTTGTTGGGGTGAGTGGGGACCTGGGACCCAGACCCGGCCACGTGAGTCTGTGGTCCTAACATGCAGGCCTTGCTTGGCTGTCTCGGGGCCTTTCTCTTACTTAAGACCTTAGTCTTCTCTTCTGTAAAATGGGCACAGGGAGAGGAAAGGGGGCTGATTGCTCTGTTATGATGAAGAGTGTGGTGGAAAGCACCCTTTGGGGAAGGCCTGGCTCTGCCACTCCCCGGGGTAACCCAGCCAGGGCTCCAAGACAGGGTTTGAACACGGGTCTCGTCTGTGGCTTTTCCTTGGCAGGGGCCTGCAGGCCACAGCCAAGATCACCTCTCAGGCCATGCTGCTGGAGAACGTGGGCCTGACACTGACCCTGTGGTCCACCTGCGGCCTGTCCCGGGGTGGCCTCTACGGGGAGTGGCAGGGCGTGATCTGCCCTGGAGAAAGTGGCTCCAGGGTCCAGGTATGTGTGGGCCAGGGCCCAGAGAGCATCTATGTATCCCAGGGGGAAAGCACACTCACTGTCAGTGACCACGGTTTGTGTCTTAGCTCCTCTTCTAGACTGGAAGCTCCCTGAAGGGAGGGGCTACATCTCATAGAAACTTGATACCATCCAATCCATATGCCACAGTAGGGGTGTAAGAAATGGATGGATGGATGGATGGATAGATGGATGGGTGGATGAATGGATGGGTGGATGGATAGGTGGATGAATGGATGGATGGATGGGTGGATGGACGGGTGAATGGGTGGATGAATGGATGGATGGATGGATGGGTGAATGGATGGACGGGTGAATGGGTAGAAGGGTGAACGGATGAATGGATGGATGGGTGGAAGGGTGGACGGATGGATGGGTAGGTGGGTGGATGGAAGGATGGATGGATGGATGGGTGGATAGGTGGATGGAAGAATGGATGGATGGATGGATGGATGGATAGGTGGACGGGTGGATGGACGGATGGGTGGATGGAAGGATGGGTGGATGGGTGGAACACTCCCTGTCCTCCAGAAGCTTATACTCTAAGTGGGAAGGGGGTATAGGCTGCCATACCTGCACACAATTGTTACACCAAATGTTACCTGTGAAGAGCAGAGGATGGCAGTAAGTGGTGTGGCAGGCTAGCTGTGAGACCCTGGACAAGAGATTCGAACCATTCAGCCTCAGTTTCCCCATCTCTAAAATGAGGATAATTATGTCACCTGCCCCATCACAAAGGCTGTGGTGAGATTTTTAAAAATGCACTTTCTCAGCCATAAAGCCCTCTAGAAACGTGACCTACTCTGAATAATCCAGCTGGGCCACTGGGGGTGGCTTCTAGAGCAAGCGGGCTCCCTCCAGGGGACAGCAAGACTGGTTTCTCTGGGGTGGAGTGACCAGAGAGGGCCAGGGAAAGGCCAGAAAGGTCGAGGCTCTGGGCCTGGCTGTGTCCAGTGACCTTGGGCAAGTCAGCGCTCCTGGGGCTGACATCAGGCTCCTCTGAAATGAGGGCAGTGGTTTCGTTGGGGCCGTGGGGGGGGAGGGTCACCAGGTTTGTGGGTAGGGTTGGTTTTGTGTAATGTATGTGTCTGTTACAGGGATGGGGGATGTCCCCTGGGGGGAGAGCCACGGCTGGCCGGTTGTGTATCTAGAAATGATTGCGATAGCAAAATGGGGGACAGCAGTAAAATAAAATATAGACAGGAAATAAAGACAGCCAGGTTGAGGTAGAGGAAGGTGCTTTCTGAGGCCCCTCCCAGCCCTGACAGACACCCCCTGTTCTGAGCTCCTTCTTAGCCCTGGTCCTGATGCTCAGGGGCTTAGGCCCAGGAGGCCCAGGTAGGCTTTCCAGCTGTCTGGCTCATCTCCTGACCCCAGCACTCCTCCCCCCCAGAAGTACCTGCAGAAGCTGTGGAATACCATCCTGCTGGTGGCCTTGCTCTTGTGTATGGGCCTCATCATCCAGGTGCGGCGGCAGGCATGGCAGGGCCCGGCAGAGCCCGACACCCAGGTGAGAGCCCCTCTCCGGCCCTTCCCTGCTCTCCCCCAGCCCGCTGCCCCTCCCTGCTGTATTGGGTGCCTTCTTTCCCCAGCTGGACCCCACGCAGCACATCTTGCAGACGCTGTCAACCCTAAAAACCCGGCGCTACCATCCAGGCCGCCAGCACCGGGCAAATGTGCCCGACATCCAGACCTGTGCCATCTGCCTGGACCAGTTTCACAGAAATCAGGTGAGGACCCTTGAGCCAGAGGGTGTCCCAAAAGTCTATGTGCGTCTTAGAGCCTTCCTGGATCACATTTGTATGCTCGCACACACATGCCCACGCGCACACACGCCTGATGCAGTGGAGAGTCAGATGACAGGTTCCTAGCCCACTCCCAGTGCACGCTACCATGAGACCCTGGGCAACTCACTTCCCCTATCTAGGCCTCAGTTTCCTCCTCTGTAAAATGGGGGTAGTGGCCCTAGAGACACTGACCTCACAAAGGCTCTTAGGAAGGGTTTGATGAGCTAATAGGATGTGCTTTTTAAACTGTGACATACCCTACAAGGACAGTAGCATAATTACAGCAGCCGGGTGGTGGCACATAGCGCTGGGCCTAGAGTCAAGGAGATGCGAGTTCAAATCCAGTCTCAGACACTGACTAGCTGTGTGACCCCGGGCAAGGCACTTCCTCAGTTTCCTCAACAGTAAAATGGGGATAATAACAGCACTCCCCTCACAGGATTGTTGTAAGGCTGAAGCAAGGTATTTGCAGAGCACTAGGCACAGTCCCTGGCCCTCCCTAGCACACAGTGGGTGCTGTATAAATGCTGCTGGGCTGGAAGGGGCCTTAGAGACAGCCGGCTGATAGACTTGGCTCTGGGTGCCCCGAGTCTCTGGAGAGAGCTGGGGACTTGGCCAAAGTTACACGGGTTTCCTCCCCCCCCGGGAGCTTGCTTCTGCCTTCTGACTCAGGAGCTTGGCAGGGCCTGCTTCATCCTCCCCCTCTGCCCTCTGCCCTCTCGTCCAGTGTCTCAGGGTCCTGCCTTGTCTCCATGAGTTTCACCGGGAATGCATAGACCCCTGGCTGCTCCTTCAACAGACCTGCCCCCTGTGTAAACACAACATCCTCGGTAACCGACATCCCTGGGCCCCGCCCCCCGGCCCTCCCAGTCAGTCCCACCTCACAGGGCACGTGAGCCACCTTGGGCCCCAGGAAAGCAGAGGAGGGGGTGAAGCAGGCGGGGGGGAGGGGAGGCTGAGGGGGAGGCTTCCTGACGCCTGCTCTCCCCTTGTACCTGCAGGGAGCTCTTGGGCTGAGAGCTAGCCCCAGCCCCGCCCCAGGGGACCAAGGGGCAGAGAACTCCATCTGAAAGGTGCCCAGGCTGTCTGGGCTCACACGGCGGTCTCAAGGAACATTGTGCCTCGATCGTTCAGAACAAGATCATCTCGGCTGGGAAGGCCTCCACCCAGGAGCAAAAGGCCCATGCTGCATCACCCCTCCCCTGGGAGGGAGGCCTCTGGGCTGAGCCCATGGTGACAGCAGTGGGGCTGTGGGGGGGCCTCTGTGGAACCCAGGGCTCCTGTGGGGGAGCACGGTCTGGCCTGCAGGTGCTCCATCGAGGCTAGGCCAGCCTGGTGGGGGAGGCCGCCTGGGCAGGGACTGGATCGTGAGTGACCACCAGGGAGCAGCCCCTGTGCTCTTCCTGGGGGCTTAACTTCATACTAATTTATTAGGGTTAATACTGCCTGGAAGGGGCTGGATGGGAGGGCCTGACCCACTGGGCACATCTGTGTACAGTGTATAACATTAAATCAGAGTCACTTGCAGCCACTGTCCCGCGTTTCCATCCTGGGGGCCCATGAGCCTGCTTGCCCCAGGCCGGCCTCCCTCCCTCCTTCCCTGGCCAGCCAGGTCCCTCCTGATACTGCCACATAGGCAAGGAGTTGGAAGGGACCACAGACAACTTTAAAGCCTGAACATGCTGGTTCATACCCCCCTCCCTTGGACCTGAGGGCCAGTGTCAGCCTGAGGGAGCTGTGGGTCCATGTGGGGGGACCTGGGGAGCCAGAGTCAGCCTGAGGGAGCTGTGGGTCCACGTGGGGGAACCTGAGGAGCTGGAGTCAGCCTAAGGGAGCTGTGGGTCCACGTGGTGGGTCCTGGGGGCCAGTGTCAGCCTGAGGGAGCTGTAGGTCCACGTGGTGGGTCCTGGGGGCCAGTGTCAGTCTGAGGGAGCTGTGGGTCCATGTGGGGGGATCTGGAGGGCTGGAGTCAGCCTGAGGGAGCTATGGGTCCATGTAGGGGGACCTGGGGAGCCGGAGTCAGCCTGAGGGAGCTGTGGGTCCACGTGGTGGGTCCTGGGGGCCAGTGTCAGTCTGAGGGAGCTGTGGGTCAATGTGGGGGGACCTAGGGAGCCGGAGTCAGCCTGAGGGAGCTGTGGGTCCATGTGGGGAGACCTGGGGGGCCAGAGTCAACCTGAGGGAGCTGTGGGTCCATGTAGGGGGATCTGGAGGGCTGGAGTCAGCCTGAGGGAGCTGTGGGTCCATGTAAGGGGATCTGGAGGGCTGGAGTCAGCCTGAGGGAGCTATGGGTCCACGTGGGCTCCAGGGGGAACCACAGGCCAGAGACAGAGTTGACCTCTGGTATGGTGAGGCCAGTCCTGACAGCCAGGACCTCTGGTTTCCAGGCCCAGCTTTTCCATGTGACCTTGTTGGGCAAGCCCCCTCCCCTCTGTGCTCAGTTTGCTTCTCTATAAAGTGGGGCAAGGTGAGCTCAGAGGTCTCAGCTCTAAACCCTAAAAGAGGCACTTACTGGGGAGCTGGTGGGAGGAGTGAAGGGTAGAGCCCTGAGGCCCAGAGGCTAAAGGGTCATCTCTGTTCCCCCCACAGTCCCCTGGGCTTCTGCTCCCTGTCGCCCACCTCCCTTCTCCAGCTCCCTGGGAAAAGCCTGGGCAGAGTGTCTGCTCCTCCCCACCCCAGAGGCCTCCTCCAGCTAGGGCACCATGCTCACCATGTCCCCCTCCTTGCCAGGACTTGGTGCACAGAGCCTGGGGAGGTCCGTGCCCTTTGCCTGGCCCACCTGCCACCCCCCTCCCACCAGGGCCCGCTGCCCCAAGGCTGCTGCAGCTGATGTGGTGGGAAGGAAGAGGCCGGTGGCTTTATTGATTCGTGGGCTAGGCTGGCCAGGCCACCTTCTTGTCCCTGGGGCCATCTCCTGCTACCTCAGCTGGTGTGCAGAACCCGCCAAGTTATGCTTCCCGCTGCCCTTCCCTCGGAGTTCCATGTAGGCAATGTTGGTGCTGCCAGAGGCCTTTGAGGAGCCTGAAATGGTTAAGGGGGAGCAGGGGGACCTCTGGCCAGAAGGAGCCTTGGGGCGGCCGGGCTGGGGCCGGGAGGCCCGGCCAGAGAGGCTGCTGTCACTGCTGGGTTGGCTGCTAGGGGGACGGTCCCGGCGGTTGGCAGACGCAGTCTGGGGACTAGAGGAGGAACAGAGGCCACTGGTGACCAAGGGCTGAGGCCTACCCTGCTGCCCTCCCGGCCCTCTTGCCAGCCCCAGTTCTTGTCATGTAGACACTCACCCTGGAGAAGGTCTTCGGAAATGGCTGAGGGTCCCTGTTTGGGTCCCTTTAGAAGGTGAAGACCAGATCTGGGCCTGGAGAGAAGCAGAGAAGGTCAGAGCTGGGAGGAGCCTGAGAACAGGGGATGTGAGGGCTAGGCGGGGCCTTACAACAGGGAATGTCAAAGCTGGGAGGGGCCTTAGAACAGGGGATGTCAAAAATAAATTAATTTTTTAAAAAAGGGAAAAAAGGAACAGGGAATGTCAGAGCTGGGAGAGACGTACTCCACCCTTGCCCCTTTTCAGCCCCCAACTGTCCACACACATTTTCAAGAAGCAAACTGAGGCCCAGAGAGCCAATGGCAGGACTGGACTGGAACCTGGGTCTTGCCTCCTCCATGTCTCAGAAGAAGCTGTGCTATATTTATCCATGACTACCCAATAAACCCCCTGATCCCCCGGAGATAATCCTCCCAGCAGCACAGAGCTCCGCTCCTCCTGCAGATGCGTCTTGTCTGTCCTTTTAAAATAATCCTTCCTAGAATATCCCAGGGTGCTAGAGGTGGGGTAGGGCAGTGGAAAGCAGCTTCAGAGTCAGAGGTCCAGGGTTCAAATCCTGCCTCTGACAACACTACCTGGGTGGCTCCCTGGGCCTCAGTATTCCCAACGGTAGAGTGAAGGGGGTTGGCCCAGTTTAGCAGCCTCTGAGCTCCTCCTAACTCTGGAGCCATCCTCTCCTGCTTCATTCTCTGTGTGTGTAACTTAAGGGGTTTCCCCACAAATGGCAGTAGGGGGGGGGGGAATAACAGAGCTTGTCCTCGTGTTAATTTCCTCCAGTCTGTCATCTGCCCAGGGTGCTGAGGTCACACAGGCCCCACGTGGCCAGCCCTCGAGGTCTCTGGCCATCAAGACCAGGGGCTCTCTGCTCACCACAGGACTGTGGCTGGGCCAGGCCTCCTCGGCCCTCTGCCCCAAAGCCAGCAGTGACAGCGCCTGAGGCCACAGGGTGGGCCTCTCAGTCTGGCCCCCCAGGCCAGCCTCCTTCCCAGCCTCCAGGGTCCCAAGCTCTCCTGTGCCAATGCTGGAGGCCTGCCCACGGGGCCCTCCACTGAAAAGAACTGGTCGGGAGTCAGCAGAGCCGGGTTCCAATCTTCCTCTGGCCTCTCCACCTCTCCAACCTCAGACGAGTCCCACCTTCTTGGCCCAGGTTCCTCCTCTCCCTGGGCCTTCGGCCCGGCCCCCAGGAGGCACTGGGGCCCTCACCTTGAGGCTGCCTTGCTGGGCCACCTCCTTCAGCTTGGCCAGCGTGGCCTGCAGCCGGGCGTTGTCCTCCTCCAGGACGTGGATGCGGATGTCGTTGGCCTGCATCTGCCTCTCCATGTCCTCGGCCACGTTCCCAGAGCCTGTGGAGAAGGGCACAGGTGGCCCCTGGTGCCTGCTCTGAGGGCGGAGTCCCCCTCCTCCTTTTACTGAAGAGGAGCCTGGGGCCCAGAAAAACCACAGGACCAGCCCTGGGGGCCACACACACTCACCTCACCCTCACACACCAATCGTCCTCTGAGCTCAGAATTACATCAGAGCTTCACACACACACTCACCTGCCCCCTTGCACACCCACAGCCACTCATACACGCACATACACACTCACACACATATATCCACACACACAGACACACACACATCTGGGAAGAGTCTGAGGCAGGATTTGATCTCAGGCAGCACTGGGCACAGGGAAAGCTTCAATGCCCCGAGGGAGGCCTCAGGAGGGGGCAGGGCAGAACTACCTACAACCCTCCACTGTCTCTGCTGTAATCCTGACCCCAAAGGGCAGAACTAGGTGCCCCTGGGGAAGTAGTGAGCTCCCCATCCCTGGAGGCCTCAGGCAGAGACTGGCTGATGAGCACTTGTCAGGGGGCAAGAGAGAGATGCCTGCTCAGGCCTGAGCTGCAGGTGCCCCTGAAGTCCCTTCCAAGTGGGAGTCTGTGCTTCTTGCCCATGTTTTATGGATGAGGAAACTGAGGCCCCAGAGTGAGGCTGTCTCCAGGGGCCCCAGGGAGCAGGAGGCAGGGCTGGCCTGAGCTTCCCCTGCTGCACATCCAGAGTTTTCTCTGCTTGTGCTCGGCATCCAGGGGGATGGAGGGGGAGGGTGCTGCCCCAGTGTGGAACTGGGGAGGGGGCTTCAGTGGCATTGCATGACTCATAGCGGGCAGTGTGGCAGCATCTAGAGTCTGGTGACTGGGCTTCAAAAACCCACCTCTGACCATAACTACTGCCCCTGAGACCTTGGACAAGTCCCTTCCCATCTCTGGACCTCAGTTTCCCCCAATGGCCCCACCCACCAGAGATCGCTGCTCACTCCCCCTATGGGAGCTGACCCCCAGCTTCCCCCAGAATCCTTCCTCCTCTGCAGCTCCAGGGGGACCCTCAGGGTGGCCTTCCCCTCCAATCAGGGCTGGCCCACTGCCCTCCCCTAACATCCTTGGTGATGCCCTTTACCAAGTCAGGCCAACAAGCACGTATTAAGCACCTACTGTGTTCCAAACAGCGCAGTGCTAAGCGCTGGGGATGCACAGAGAGGCCGAACAAATCCAGGGCCTGCTCCGTATGTACAAACAAGCTCATTAGAGGATACATGAGAGGTGATCCACAGAGGAAAGCCCTAGAATGAAGGCAGGCCAGCAAAGGCTTCCTGCAGAAGGGGGAATCGAGCTGAGAAGCCCAAAGACCCTCACGTGTGACGCCGGGCCCCCGGGCCGCTCGCTTTCCACCTTCCTTGGAGTCACTGCACCATTGGGACCCTCGGTCCCCTGGGCCCCCCAGCACCTGCTCCTAGGATGGGCCTGCCGGCATCTGCAGCCCTCCCCCATTCACTCGTTCACCGGCCCCAGCCCCCACCCTCACCCCAGCTCAACCCTCTGTCCTGAAGCCGCGGCTCACTCTCAAACTGGGCCTCGCTGGGGACATGGAGGTCAGGGAAGGCCACCAACAGCCGCTCCCGCTCCTTCAGCTCCAGGATCGACTTGTCCAGCCTGTAGACGGTCACCTGCAGCTCCTCCATGGCCCATTCTAGGCTCTGCTTCTCCTGCTGGAGGCTCTGCAGCAGCTCCTGGGGCCGGGGGACCAGGGGAACAGTGAGCCCGCAGCTGCAGGGGCAGCAGGAGCTCCGGCCTGAGTGCCAGCGTGGCTCCCAGTGCCATGGACCCTGGACAGAATGAGACCCCCCCCCACCTCCCTCGGGGTGTCCTGAAGAAGACAGGCCCGCCTTGAAGAATTAGAGAAGGGGGAGGTGAAACAACTATGACAATAAGGACAATAGCCACGGGGAGAGTTGGCTTCAGGGTGCCAGTCTGGGGGAGGGCCAGGTAACTCTCTAGCTACTAAGTCAACTAGTGTGCATTAAGCACCTACTGTATGCCAGGCCCTGTGCTACAAAGAAAGGCAACAGATGGTCCCTGCCCTCAAGGAGTTTCTAGTCTAATGGCAGAAACTGCTGGCCCACAACTGGAGATAGATGGGAGAGTCTGGGGCTCCCTCACAGGGAAGGCAGGTCCTGCAAAGAGAGGAGGGGGATGGAGCTGGGGCTTCAAGGAGCTGCCCAGGAGCTGACGGGCATTGGCACAGTTTTCTCCCCCGTAGTCCCTGGGCCAGTGAAGTCCCAGGAGCAGCCACTCTCCCTTAGAACAAGGACCCTTGAGCCTTGGGCCCGTTCCCCATCTTTCTGCCCCAGGACTGTCCCGTCCTCCTCTCTCAGCCCTGCCAACATAAGGCTGACCCCAGCAGTTCACCTGGGGCCTGCCAAGGGGAGGATGCCTTGGGTTTCAGCTCCCTTGTCCCTGACCTGCAGCCCTGTGCCTTCATTCTTGCCCTGCCCCACCCTGGGTCCGCTGGGAAGGAGCTCATGTCTATGTGCTTAAGGGACTCTCCTCACAGCAGCTGTTTAGGGGAGCTGCGCTGGAACTGGCCCCATTTCTGCAGAAGGATAAACTGAGGCCCAGAGGTGGGCAGTCCCTTGCCCAGGGTTACCTGCTGGGCCTCCAACCTCCAAGCCCAGCCTTCCTGCCTCCGCCCCTCACTGCTGAAATGCACCATGGCATCCAGGCTCCTCCACAGCAGGGGGCAGGCCGTGGCTCTACCCCTGCCCACCTGCTGAGCCTTCAGCTGGACCTCCATGTGCTCCTTGTCTCCACCTGCGGCCTGCAGCTGGCTTTCGAGGTTAGCTTGCTGTACCTCAGCCTCCTCCAAACTGGTCCGGAGCTCCTCCCGCTCTTGGTCCAGGCTGTCCAGCTGCTGGAGCAGGGCCCTCTGCTTGGCCTGCAGGGACTGAGGGGGACCGAGGGCGGAGGCCAGCTGGCACGCTCTCTGCCTTGGCCAAGGCGGGCCCCATTTTCTGCAGCTCATTTGCAGCCCAGAGGGAGGAGGGCATTTAGCAGCAGGGCCCAGATGGGAAGGAGGATTTGTGGGTGAAGCCAGGGCCCGGTCCCCAGGATGGACAGCTCAGGCAGCCACTCCCAGCCCCCCAGCCCGTAAAGCCCCCTCAGGCCCAGAGGAGATGGGCTGAGGCCTTGCTGAAGCAGGCTGCCCAGGCCCATTCACCAGGCTGTGCCTGGCTGGGCCTGAATTGGTCAGAGCAGCCCCTTCAGCCAGGTCCCCAAACCCCTGGACTCAAGTCCCCTCATTGCCCCCAATGCCTCTTGCCAGCTCAGTCCAGCCTCATCACTGCCCCAGGGCTGGCCCAGGAGCTGAGAACTCTCAGGCTGGCTGCTCTGGCCTTTCCCTGGGCCCCAGGCCCCTCCGCTCACTCCTCCCTACCCCTGACCCTATGCCCACAGAATGCTGGCCCCCTGGAGGCGGCAGCTGTCTTTGTCTAGAACCTAGCCTCACACCAGGCACAGAGGAGGCCTTTAGCTGGTACTTCCTGGGTGGGCATGAGCTGGACAGAGCAGAATGTGGGTCCCTGGTGGCCCCAACGAGGTCCAGTGAAGGACCCGCTCCCATCGGGCCTGGCCTCACCTCCTGGTGCCGGATCATGCTGTCTACTTTTGCCTTCTCCTTGTCCAGCTCCGTGCTGGCCCAGCTGAACTGCTGACTGGCATTTTCCAGGCGCCCAGTCAGTAGCTGCACCCGGGCCTCCAGCTGCTTCACCTCGCTTTTTTTCACCATGTTGCTCATGTCCTCCTGCATCTGCTGTTTCTCTGCTTCTGGGAGATACCCCCCCCCATATTGTTAGGTCCAGTTTACCCCAGTCAAGGGTTGGGGAGAGCACAACAGAGGCAAATGAGGGGGTTGGACCAGATGACTTTTGACCCTATGGGCCTAGGGGTACAAATACACTAGCCTGAGGCACAGTCAGCTGCTGGTTTCCTCAGGGACTGACCTCAGGCAACTCTCTGGCCCTTTCCTCTCATGGACATCCCTCCTCCCTGGACATCCCCCAGCAGGCACCTGGAGCTGTGGTGGCTTCAGGAAGGAAGGGCAGGCAGTAGCTTGTGCCCCGGCTGAAGCTCACTCCCCAGTGTGGGGCCTCAGAAAGGTCCCTGGCCTGCTCCCCAGAGGCCTGCTCCCCAGAGGCCTGCTCCCCAGAGGCCTGCTCCCCGGAGGCCTGCTCCCCGGAGGCCTTCCTCCTGAGGTTCCCAGAGGCCTTCATTCTACATCTGCCTTTCTTTCTCCCTCCAGTGAGGAGGGCTCATGCCCCATCTTCCTCCCACTGGGGGCCACATGGGTCAGAGTGTGGTGCTGAGGCCACCTCTCTCCCTCTATCATCTCTCACTCAGTCCTCATCTCTGTGCAGATGACTCCCAGGTGGATCCACCCAGGCCTAACCTCTCTTCTTGGCTCTACGTCTGAATCATTGACTGTTTCTTGAACAGCTCCAACTCCGCTTGCCCCAAACAACACTCATTCTCTTTTCCCCAGTCCTCCTGTCATGGCCACATTCCCCTTGTTTCTGCTGGGGCCACCGCCTTTCTTGGAGTCTGCCAGGCTCAAACCTCGGCATTAACCTTGGGCCTCCTTCTCACTCCCCAAACACGTCCAATCAGTGTCTGCCTCCCCAAGCTCTCCTGCGTCTCCCCTCCTCTCCTTACCCAGGTAGGCTGCTTCCCACCCCAGTCCACCCTCCACAGAGCCGCCCCAGTGATTCTCCTGAAGGCCAGCTCCGATCACGTCACCCACTACCCAGGAAACTCCAGCAGCTCCCTACGGGTCTGTAGAGCCCGTCACAGCAGGGCCCAACCGAACTTTCCTGCCACCCTCTGTAGTAAGCCAGCACCACACTGGCCTTCTCTCTGTTCCCCTCTCCCATCGCCACGCCTTTGCAATGGCAGTATCCACTGCAGTGTGCCCATACCAAGTTCACCTCTGCAGCAAAGCTTCCCATGGGCCCTGGTCTCTACACCTCCATGCCCCTCCCTCATTATGGCTATAGGGTCTGATTGTGCTTCTTAGAATTCTGAGGATGTAGACAGACTCACATCACTCAGGGCAGACTACATATACACCACCTATGCATACCTCTCCATATACCCATAGCTCTACTGGTAAGGATGGCCTTGGGAGGATCTCTGCAACCTCTCCCTCCCCATGGAATTGAAGTTCAAAGTTCACATATAGAATCCCAGTAGACAAACACTACATTCCCCTCCCCCCTACCCAACAAACACCACACCAGCCAGCCTGGGTCAGCCAGAGAACATTCTCTCCTCCTCCTCCTCCCCCTCCTCCTCCTCCTCCTCCCCCTCCTCCTCCTCTCAGTCCCCTCCACAACGTCTGTGCTCAGATCCCCAGGTTTAGCCCTGGGCACAAAGCAGTAGAGAATGCTCCTAGCTCCTCCTCGGCATGCTGGGATCCCAGGAAAGAGGGCATCTCTAACCAGCATAGAGAGGGATCTTTTCCCACAAAGACTGGGAAGGCTGCAATGCCATCTGGGAAGCTGTCCCACACCCGTCTCCTGCCAGCTGTCGAGAACGTGCTACTTGAGAAACCTCTTTTGGAGCTCATGGGTTTCCTTTTCTCCTCCCCAGTACGGACACAGAGTCCCCTGTAATCACTCATTTGGAAAGGCACGTGCCACCAGGAGAAAGAGATCTGTTTCCTCCTTATGTTGATGTTTCTAAGCCTCCAGGAGCCTTCCTTCCAATGGCTGCAGCATTAGCCCCTCCGGGATGCGCACCCCCCTCACCCCAGAGGCCCCTTTTTCTTTCAGCTCAAACCTCTCCCGATGCCCTCGTTCCCCACCCTCCCTGCCATCCTCCCCTCCCAAGCCACCCTATGTTTAGCGACTGTTTCCTTTCGGTCTTTCTCTCTCCAGGGCCCAGCGTACACGGGCTCTTAAGCACTTGTGGACCGACAGGTTGAACACTTTGCAAACTGCAAGGCACCCTAGTAGGATTCCCTACAGTGACCCTAGAAATCGAGAGGGCCAGAGGCCAATGGGATGGAGAGAGGCAAAGGCCCGGTGGAGGGAGCAGCTGCTGACCCATCTCTGCTCGGGCCACGGCTGTGCCTCAGGCTGGGGCCCAAAGGAGGAGGCTTACCTAGGTCCTGGATGGTGCTTTGTTTCTGCTTCAGCTCCTCACTCAGCGTCTCCACCGTCTGCTTCAGGAGGCTTGTTTCTAAGGAATCCAAAATAAACACTTCTTAGCCAAGGTCCCATGCTGGATGACCTTGGACACGGCTCTTGCCATCTCTCAGACTGTTTACTCATCTGTAAAATGGGGGGCAGGTTCAACAAATAATCTCAGAAATCTCTCCTGGTGCCGCCAGGATCAAGCAAGATTTCATGGTCAGACACATTGTAAGTGTGCGGGAATGTCTACAGAACAGCAAGGGGAGATACGTGGAGCTACTGGGATCGTGGTTATAATGATGATGTTTTCAGGTCTCTGCCAGCCCTGACATCCCCTGTCCTGAGGCCCCTGCCAGCCTCCCAGGAGCTTCCTTGCTCAGGCCCAATCTCCTACCTTGGGCTCTGGAACAGTTTCTAAGGGGTGTAGAATAGGCCCAGTCAAAGGGGCGACAGGATAGCCCAGGACAGGACAGCCCGAGCTCTCTCTCTGACGAGAAGCTGGATACATTGAGTCATGGCTGGGTCAGGAAGCTTCCTTGCTTTGTGCTCTGAAGCCTCCACATAGAAGAAAACACTACCACTCAATCTTGGGTCAGTAGAATTGAATTCAAATCCTAGCTCTGCACCTTCCTCACTGTGTGACTTCTGACAAGTCACTTCCCCTCTCTGAGGCTCAGTGTTCTCCTCTGTAGAATGGGTACAATGCTCACAGCACCTGCTCCATGCAATGAAAGCCCTTCGTGAGTTACAGAGAGCTGAGTTATCATTGCCTTCTCCCTTCCTGGCGTCCCTCTTCATCCCCAAGACATTTCCCTAGAGCCTCAGGGCTGGCAAGGCATGCACACGCTTCCTCTGAGCAGCTTACAAGAAGGCTGCAGAGACACGCGTGGGCCCCAGCACGTGTGTATAGAAAAAGGCCAAAACGCAAATGCCTCGTAGCATCTGAAAGTCAAGATAAACTAAGAGACAAAGGTCCGGCGGCCTGGGCGCGAGTGAACACCTCCCTTTGTCCCGAAGGAAAGCTGAGTGCTGTATGGGAACCCCCTGCTGGTGCAGACCTTGCCAGCGATCTGCGCGAGCAGACCGGCCGGCACCTAGAAAGGCTTGTCAGGGAGAGAGCGGCATCGCTCCTAATGGTGCAAGGACCGTCCAGGCACAATACACCTCTTAGAGCTGCCATCAGGACTCAGAGATAACCCTAGCTGTCTTGGTATTCTCCCAGGGCTGAAGGGACAGGAGCTGACAGCTTGTCCCATGAATTCTAACTTTAAACCAACCCACAGGGAAAGCCAAATTCCTGAGCTCAACTCAAAGACAGAGAAAGGGGGCTTTAGGCAGATGCAGGTTCAGTGATAAAAGTCAACGGAGCAGCGCAAGGCTGCAGAATCAGTGTTGTAGATGCCTGAGGTGATGCTTATTTTGTCCTTGTCTGTGCTCGGGGCTCACTGAGCTCTCATCATGCACAAATAAAGGTGAAGGACCAGTCCTGAGTCCAGTAAGGGGGGGGGGCGGGGCTGGTGGCCCGCGACAACTCCTCTACCCTCAGAACTGGGCACGCATCCTGTCTGCCTGGCGAGGTGATGGTGGGGGTGGGGAAGGAGGCTGCAAGAGATGGCCCCAGGGACCCAGAGCTCACCAGCCTTTTTCACCCACCAATCTCCACTAGCTGAGCTGTCCTCCACCAGCTGCCCTTGGGCATGGCATCAGCCCGGGGGCCTGGGGGTGCTCCTGAGGACTTACTGGCCTCCTCTACCCCCAACCCCCATTAATGACATGCCCAGCTTGTCGGAAGTCCTCTACAACCCAGGGAGCGGCTGGGCTGCCCAGGCCTGGCTTGGATGGCCAGTGAAGGGGACCCCAGACGAACTGGCGGCCCTCCTACTTCCCACCCGGGAAGCAGTCTGCCAGGCCTCTGTTTCAGGAAGGACAGAGAAAGGTGCCCTGCTTCAGCTGGGGACAGATTTGTTCATCTCTAAGGACCATCTGCCTCTCAACAGGCCTGGGATCCAGGCCATTCCTGGATGTGCGAGGGGCCCATCCAGGTGGGATCCAGATGCAGGATCCCTCAGGTAACCTCCTGGGACACCATTCTGGGGCATCCAAGGGCAGCCCAGCCACGGGGGCAGCTCTGAACCAGCCCCTCTCCGCGTGGCCCCTGGCAGCTTCTCTTATGGCCCTCGGGGGCCCACGAGCCTTGACCTTGAGCTGGAAGTGGCTCAGAGGCCAGTGGACACAATGCCTTTCCCCTGCTCTCCTTCATTTTACAGATGAGAAAACTGAGGTCCAGGGAAGTTCAAATGGGGCCATGTGTCTCCCTGGCCCTGGGCAGGCAGCTGGCTTGAGGCCTGTGAGGCCCCTCCAAGCTGGCCAAAGGGGCCAGGGGCTAGAGAGAGAGCCAGAGGGGAGGGCATGAGGGCAGCAGGGCAGAGGGGAAGGCAGGAGGGCAGGAGGGCAGAGGGGAGGGCCAGGGGGGAGGGCAGAAGGGCAGGAGGGCCGAAGGGAGGGCTGGGGGGGGCGGGGCAGAGAACCTGAGAGCAGCGCCTGATTCTCCTCCTCCAGCTGGGCCAGCGCATGCCCTTGTCTCTGTGCCTGGTCAGCCCAGTGCCTCTCGGTGTCCAGCCACTGCTGCTGCTGCTCGGCCCACTCCTTCTGCAGCTCATGCCCCTGGTCCTCCAGCTGCTGCTTCAGCAGCTCGGCCTCCTCCAGCTGCATCCGGATGGGGCTGACCACCTGCCTCAGGGCTGACAGGTGCTTGCCGATCCGGGACAGGTCTTTGCTCTGTTCAGCTGCCCAGTAGCTCAGGTCCACGACCGACATGGGCTGCTGGCCCATGGTCTCATGCACCAGATGCTGAAACTTGTCCAATGACGAGGGCAGGTTCTGGCTGATGCACAGGCTGACGATGGCTCTGCTCACCTCCCACAAGCTCCTCTGGACGCTGCCACAGGCATCGCAGGGGATTGAGGCTGTGTCGATGGTCTGGGCGTGGACGCTGCGGGTGGTGCCAGTGGAGGCGGCGGGCACGAGGGGCCCGGCGGGGCTGGCATCCTGAGGCTGGCAGGGTAGGGGGGGGGCGGGTGTCAGAGCTGGGAGGTCGGGGGTCAGGGCCCTGTCGGTCTCACTCTCCCCCCCTTCCCAGGCCTCGGACTCGTGGATGACTGGGTGATGGTTGTTGGCTGCTTCGCTCTGGTCAGAGAGGACGGGGGAATCTTCCTGCTTCGTCTTCTTCTGTTAAGGGGGAAATGGAGACAGAGAAAATGATGGTGGGAGGGCCAGGATCCTCAGCCATGTTCAGAAATGGAGACCGGGCACCATCTAATGGGGCAGAGCCCTGCCCTGGGCTCAGCCAATACTCAGCTCTGCCCCCGGGCTAGTGCCCTTCCTCCGCTAACCACTTCTAATTCGTCCTGTCTCTAGCTTGCTGGGCATATATTTGTCTGCACGCAATCCCCCCATTCAACCTTGAGCTCACGGAGGGCAGGGACTGTCTTTGGCCTTTCTTTGTGTCCCTCATGCTTGGCACAGCGCCTGGCACACGGTAGGTGCTTAGTAAATGTCTGTTAATGGACCAACTGCCAGTGCCGCTGAAGCGGCAGCTCCTGCGTCCTGGCCTGGCCCTCGAGGGGCTGTGGCTGCTGCTGCCTGGGAGTGGCTGGGCTGGACGGGGGGGGGGGCGGCAGGCCTGGATCTGGGGACCCCAAGGGCCAATGCTTCCGTCCGTCCAGGTTCTCTGGCTTTGGCAGAGTGGGTAACCCACCCCACCCTTCCCCCAGCCCCCACTGCACATCACCCCCTGCCAGGACTTGGGCAGGGGCTGCCACCGAGAGACCCTGGATCAGGAATTGGGTCTGGCTGGGCCACTGTGTAACTGTGAACAAGCCGCTTCCCCTTAGAGCCTCAGCTTCCCCACCTGGGAATGGGGAGGATCATCTCTGCTCTCCTCTCTCCCACCACTTTAGGCACATCTCGTGTGCTTGGCCTCATTTATGGAAGGTCCTCACTTCAATCCCTAATGGAACGAGCACTGTCTTTGGAGGCAGAGGACAGGTCCAAATCCCAGTGGCCCATCGCTTCTAGAAAAGGTGGTGGTCATGGACTCGGTGGTCCCTAAGTCCTTTCTGGCTCTAGGCCAAGGGTGCTGGCCATCAAACACTTGGATCCAAAAAGGATGGGTGGCACCAACTTGTGGGGGCCTTGAATGCCAAGATGAACAGTCTGGACTTGACTCAGGAGTTAAAGGAAGCCAATGAAAGGTGCTGAGCAGACTCCTTGGACAAGGGAAGGACGAGAGGAAGGAGGAGACATTTGGTCTCATGCTCACAGCCTCTCAAGCCTCTCCAAATGAGGAATTATGCACCCAAGAGAGGAGGCTCGGCCGTTTCCACTGTCTTGGACACCAAGAACCCAAACAAGGTAAAAACCCAAAGAGTTAACCACAACACCGGCCTAACATCCCCTCCCCCCTTCCACCACTGTTGGCATCAGTGCCCCACCCTCCCCGAGATGGGCTTGACCACACCCCGGCACCTTTGGCTCTTCCAGCTGAAGCAGAAAGCCGTGCAGGCTGTCATTGCAGCAGAAAGAAGCCATGCCCTGTATCGCAACACAGCACAGCCAGAGAGCTGAGGAACAGAGGGAACAGTCCCCGGGGGGATCCTGGGAGGGGGTCACACCACCAAACCCAAAGGCAAGGGCTCAGCGTCCGCCTGGGACCAGCTCTGTCCCTCCAGAAGTCTCTGGGCGAGACGCCTACGCTGGTGAGCCGAGAACGGCCCAGTGAGGGAAAAGGCCGAAATCAGTCTGAGCTCCAGCCCCAAACCCAAACTACCACCACAGGACGAGCAAAAGGGAGAAACACAGAAAAATACAGAAATAAGACTGAAGATTCCAGAGTTCTCAGGAGGAAGAAAATCCAGGCAATGACTGAACACAGACAGCCAATAGGAAAGAAGGGCAAAGGGCCTCTAGGTCAGGGGTGAGAATCCAGGCATCTGCAGGCAGGTTTTGCAAGGAAAGGGATGAGGCTGAGGACCCTGTGGATTCCCAAGAGAACATGGAACCGCGGCAGAAAGTTCCTACATGGCTTAAAAGAAAGGTCAGACTTGTGAGAGCAGACCGATGGCCTGCACAGAAGAAATAATTGGCAGAATGGAAAAGTCTCAGCACAGAAACAAAAGAGAGACTGTTTGGGGATGCAGACACGTAGAAGCAAAGGACAATCTGTAAGAAGACAAGCAAAAAGCAATGACATGGAAAGAAGGAACAATCTCCACACAAGTGAAACATGGATCTTGAAGAAAGGGCACGCAGAGACAAGCCAGGGATTAAAGGTCTCAAGGACAGCACACATCAGAACACCTGAACACCACGATCGGAGAAATAATACAGGAAAACCGCCTGGGACTTCTGAACACAGAAGACAAAACGCCAACTGACAGGATCCACAGACTGCCTTGAGAGGAAAAAAACTCTAGGTCGCAAATTACAATTTAAATTAAACAATTCCACTAACAACAAATGCTACAAGAAACCAGGAGAAAAACCTTTAAAGACAAGGGAGAGAAAATGGGAACAACACAAGACTATTCTGCAACCACCAGAAACTACAAGAGGGAATGGAATAATGTATTCGGAAGAGCTAAGGAGCTCAAGATGAAGCCCTAGGTGACCTCCCCTGCACACGTGAGCCTAACCATACATGACATTTAAAAAGATATTAATGAACAGGAAATATTCAAAACATTCCTAAAAAGAAAACTAAACTTGAAGAAAGCATGTGCTTTTTTAAACAGTCCAGACAACAGAAATTTAAAAAGGGTAAATAAATGGCCAACAGCAACAGCAAAGCCATTCAGAGACTTCTGGAGGAGACACCGGGAGATGAGGGCGAAAACAAAGGTTAAACACAAGTGATGGAGAAACAGGCCCGCAACAGTCACGGGCTAAATCTCACAACTTCACATCACACTGCTATGTTTTGTTTTTTGGGGGGAAGGGACCAAATTAGAGAAGAGGAGGGGACTAACAGGGGGATGGGGAGGAAGAAGATAGAGGCAAGTATGTGATGGCTCCTAATCAAGTCAAAGACTAATACTGAAGGGCAAACAACTCCTGAAGTCTCTCAGGAAGAGAACCCACAGGAGAATGGGTGAGAATGTAAAGGGTGGAATTAGAAAAGAGGGAAAGCGGAAAACCTTGTTCCTGTGGTGGGAGGGGGTACTGCTGATGAATGTGCCTATGGGAGAAGAGAGATGTCATATAAAGGGAGATGGGGACCTTACAATGGACATGATCTGCAGTGGATCTGGTGCTTAGCAACCACCCACACATTCTGCTGCAGGGGAAGGGGAATTGGGGCTCTTGGGGGGCAACCGACACCCAGAGATGTGGGAGGGCACAGATCCAGGGAAGAGATTACAAGGCAAATGGGAGGGAAATGACCAAAGGGCGGGCAAAGGTCAATAATGAACCACACAATCAAGGATGTAGGAATATTCCTTCCCCGGAGAACTATGCTATCATCTGCTGGTAATGGCATTTCTGAGAATGAGGCACAACAGAAAAAAGGGGGCCACGGGGCAATAACAGAAACTCTCCAGAAGAGGGAACTCAAACTAGGTACTTCAAAAGTTTTAATTTCATGAGGAATATAGAGAATAAAGAACTAAATAAATACAAAGCCCATGGATCAAAGAATAAGACTGTAGAATATATAGGAAAGGAAGATAAATAATGAAAAAAAGGAAAGAAATGCTAAAAAGATTTTTTCTAAACAGAAAAAAGAGGTACAGAAAATAAAAATTTAAAAACTAATGAACAAAACAAATTAAAGGGGAAGAGAGGAAGGAGGATTTTCATTGGCTACTTAACTGAGAGGGAAAATAAAAGAGGAGAAAAATTTAAAACTATCAATGGTCAATGGATATGAACAGGCAGTTCTCAGATGAAGAAATTAAAGCCATCTGTAGTCATATGAAAAAACGCTCTAAACCACTACTGATTAGAGAAATACAAATCAAAACAACTCTGAGGTACCACATCACACCTATCAGATTGGCCAACATGAGAAAACAGGAAAATGACAAATGCTGGAGAAGATGTGGGAAAATTGGACTACTAATGCATTGTTGGTGGAGTTGTAAAATGATCAACCATTCTGGAGAGCAATTTGGAACTATGTCCAAAGGGCTATACAAATGTGCATACCTTTTGACCCAGCAATAGCACTTCTAGGGCTGTATCCCAAAGAGATCATAAATATGAAAAAAGGATCCACATATACAAAAATATTTACAGCAGCTTTTTCTGTGGTGGCCAAGAATTGGACATTGAGGGGATGCCCATCCATTGGGGAATGGCTGAACAAATTGTGGTATATGAATGTAATGTAATACTATTGTGCTATAAGAAATGATGAGCAGGCAGACTTCAGAAAAACCTGGACAGACTTGTATGTACTGATGCTGAGTGAACTGAGCAGAACCAGGAGAATGCTGTACACAGTAACAGCCACACTGTGTGATGACTAACTTCAACAGACTTAGCCCTTCTCAGCAACGTAAGGATCTAAGACATCTCCAAAGGTCTCATGATAGAAAATGTTCTCCACATCCACAGAAAGAACTATGGAGTCTGAATGCAGATGGAAGCATACAATTTGTTATTTTTTTTCTTCTGTTTTGTTTTGTTTCCTCTTTCTGGTGGTTCCTCCTATTGGTTCTAATTCTTTCTTACAACATGACTAAAGTGAAAAAAACAATTTGCAAAGATAAAAAAAAAATTAAAACTAGATAAAAGCAAGAAGGAAAAAGGAACTAATAAGCAAAACTCTAAAAATAGAGAAAGGGGTAACAAACAGGAAGAGGAGGGCAGACTTATGAGTAAGGGGAAGACAGCAGGTAGAAATAGGGCTACCTTAAAATAAATTAAGCTAAAACTAATAAAATGATATAGTACTGCTTTTACAAGAGAAGGGGGAGGAATCCTAATGGGGGGGGGAAATTTTAGAGACAAATGGAAAAACAGAATGACAGGTTGTATTAGAAAAGAACTCACACTCTGTGGCTTACAAGAAACATTTTAAAAATATAAAGACATACATAGAATAAAAATGAAAGGCTGGGGGAAAAAATTTATTATCCATCAAGTGAGTCCAAAATGGAGGAGTTGGAGACTACATTATTTTGAAAGGAATCATAGACAACAAGTTAATATCACTATTAAACTGAAGGCCTCCAAATGCCTTAGCAACTAAATTCATAAAGGAAATATTATCTGATCTACAAGAAAACAAAGACAACAACACAATAGTGACAGAGGGTTTCAATGTCTCCCAGCTTGGGGTAAGTCTAACAGAAAGATAAACACAACAGAAAATACAGAACTGAACAAACCGCTGGAGCTCAACTAGAGCTACAATATTTATGGTGTCTTCTTAATGGAACTGCAAAAGAATATACATATTTCTCAGCACCATATAGAACTTTTACAAAAACTGACCATGGACACAGATAATAAAAACAAACGTGTACAAAGGCAGAAATAATAAATACATCTTTTATAGACCATAACACAATAAGACAGGCATCAAGTCAGGGAGCACAAATAAAAAAGCACAGACTCAAATGGAGACTTAACGATGAAGTTCTAAATAACGAGTAGGTCAAAGAACAAATCATATGAACAATTAATGACTATGTGAAATAAAATGATAATGATGAAACACCAAAATTTCTAGAATGCAACCAAAGTGAAGTGAAAAATCTTGTTCTTACAAACATATATTAATAAAATAGAAAAAAGAGGATTGGTGAATTGAATATACATTTTTAAAAAATTAGTCAACAAACAAACCTAAAATAAGCACAAAGGAGAAGATAATAAAAATTAGAGGAGAAATAGATAAACCAAAATAATTGTAAGAACAGTAAATAAAATGAAAAATTAGTTCTTTGAAAATACTAGTAAAATTGATAAAACTTTAGCCAATCTGACTAAGAAGGAGAGGGTACAAAAAAACTCCAACCTACAAAGTATTGGCATATGGCAGTGGTGGTCTTGGGGATGCCCAGCAAGGGTGCCTCTATAGGTTGGCCAGGCTGGATGTCCAAGAGCGCCAGGTGGAGTCTTGCCAGCCCTCTCCAGTCTGTCCGGCTCTGGGCCCTCAGTCTGCATCTCTCTCTCTCTCCTCTCTCTCTCTCTCTCTCTGTCCCCCAGGTTCCCTTTGCTTCTATTTTATTTTTAAAATATCAGAAAAAGCATCTATCTAAAGCCAAAACAAGTATCATAGACAATAGGGATAAACTAGAACCTTTTCCAATAAATAAGGGAGTAAAGCAAGGATGTCTACTCTCCCCACTATTATTTGATACAATTCTGAAATACTAGCAATTGCAAAAAGAAATTAAAGGCATTAATAGGTAAAGAGGAGATAAAACTATATCTATTTGCTGATGATATGATAGCTTACTTGGAAAATCCTAAGAATTATCAAAGATACTAATAGAAATAATAGATTAAGCAAAGTTCCAAGCCCCAAAATAAACCCTCAAAAATTAAACTGCATTTCTGTAAAGTAATAACAAAAGCCATGAGGCAATAATAGAAAGGGAAATCCCATTCCAAATAACTCTACAACACATAAAGTACCTGGGAATCAGTTGACCAAAGCACACAAAAGACTTGGATGGATTCAATGACCATAAAGAAAAACACTTGGATAAACATCCTTACTCATAGCTGGGCCATGCCAATAGAAGAAAAATGAACGTACTACCAAACTTAATTGATACTTTTAATGCTATACCAATGAAATTATCAAGGTGTACTTCAAGGAACTTGATGAAATTGTAACAATGGGAAAACAAAAGAGCTAGAATATCAAGGGAAATGATGAAAAGGAATAGGGATGAAGGGGAATACTACTTCCAGACCTGAAACTATGTTATAAAGCAGCCATCATCAAACTATCTGGTACTGCTTAAAAAAACAAAACAAATCAGTAGATCAGTGGAACAGACTAGACAAGGGGGAATCAGAAACAATGGAACTCAAAAATCTGGTGTTTGATGAAGCAGAAAACATAAACCATCTAGGAAACAATGCCTTATTTTATAAAAACTGCTGGTAAGACTAGAAAGCAGTCTGGCAGAAATTAGGCTCAGACCAACACGTTCCACCACACTCTACCATTCACTCTAAAGGGAAACGCAACCTTAATATTAAAGATCATACTATGAAGAAACTAGAAGAGAAACAGCTGGTATCTCTCACAGCTCTGAGTAGGAGATCTACTCTTAACCAAACGAGAGATAGAAGCAACTGCAGAAGATAAAATAAATAACTGATTATGTGAAACTGAAAAGCATCTGCACAGACAACACCGACGCATCCAAGAAGGGAAGCGGTCAAATGGGAAAAAAATAATCTTTGTGTCAAATTTCTCTGAAAAGGGTTTCGTTAACCAAGGTATGTAAATGTTATATTATGTAAATATTTTAAATATGTTTACATACAAAAGCACATGAGAGTGTGTGTGTGTGTGTAAGACCAAAGCCATTTTGCAATAAGTGGTCAAATGATATGAAAGAAGAATTCTCAAAGAAGAACCGACAACTATTCACGACCACATAAAGGATGCTCCAAATCACTGATAATGAGAAGAATGCAGATCAAAACAGCTCCGAGGATCCATCTCACGTACTCCAAATCTGCCAAAATGACAAGAGGTGGGACTAGTCGATGCTGGAGGGGCTGTGGGAAGACAGGCACACTAATCCGCTGTTGGTGGAGCTGTGAAATGATACAACCATTCTGGAAAGCCATCTGGAATCATGCGAATAAACTAACCACACTTCCACACCTCTTGACACAAAAGATTCTATTGCTGGGCTTATACCCTAAGGAGGCTATCGATACAAATAAAGACCTCATACACACCAGAGTGTTTATAGCAGTGCTTTTTGTGATAGCAAAGAACTGGAAACAAAGCAGATGCCCACGGCATGGGGGCATCAGTGGGACATAAATATGATAGAATAATATTGTGCCGCAAGAAATGACGTAAGCGAGCGACGCAGAGAGGCATGGAATGATCCGCATGAATTGATGCAGAGTGAGGTCAGCTGAGCCAAGAAAACAGCGCGCACGATAACTACAATGGAAATGAAGATAACAGCCAAACACCAAAACATCGGAAGTGAGTTTTGCAAAACACAAGAAACAAGCTTGGCTGCAAAGCAAGGAACGAGAGAAGACCCCCAGCTATGGCCTAGGCGGGAAGCCGCCAGCCCTCCCCGGACGGGGGTGCAGCCTGCTGCCTGGAAGCCGCGCTGGGAGCGCCATCCTCCCTACCTGAGTCAGTGATTGCCGGTAAAGCTCTCCCAGCCTCAACATGCTGGTCCAGTACCTGCGCACGGTGAGCCCAATGGACATGCAGGGCCCCACCTCGCGCGCGGCGGGGATCAGCTCGTTGCTGGCAATGTTGTCCGTGTAGCTGGTAAAGCTCTGCAGAAGCAAAAGGAGCCTGGGGGACCAAGAGAGAGAGACACAGACTGAGGGCCCAGAATGCCCTGGGAGGAGAAGGCTGGAGGACTACCTGGCCGGCCTCGCTGGGCATCCCCAAGGCCACCCACTGCCATCCCAGGGCTGGCAGCTTCGATGTCCAGAAAGCCTTAATAGGTTCCTCTGTAGACTTGCTCCAATTCTAGCCTGGGGCCAAGGAGAATGAGTGACATCCTCTGTCCTAAGGCCCCTTCCAGCTCTGACATCCCCTGTTCTAACCTCCCTCCCAGCGGCGACATCCCTGTTCTAAGGCCCCTCCCAGCTCTGACATCCCCTGTTCTGAGGCCCCTCCCAGCTCTGACACCCCTGTTCTGAGGCCCCTCCCAGCTCTGCCATCCCCTGTTCTGAGGCCCCTCCCAGCTCTGCCATCCCCTGTTCTGAGGCCCCTCCCAGCTCTGACATTCTGAGTTCTGTGTTCTAAGGTTACTTCCAACTCTGACATGTTAGGATTCCTGATTTCAGAGTGCTGTGGACAGAGACTATCTCTTCATCAGTGTTCTTCATGTGTCCAAGAAGGCCACAAAAACCTACTAAGCACCTAGTATGTGTAAAGCACTGGGGATACAAGGAAATGCCAAAATCCGTCTAAGGGGATGGGGAGGGGGGAGGTGACATTCAAACAGCTCTGTGCAAATAAGACAGAGACAGGGTGAATAGGGGGTGGTCTCCGAGGAAAGGCATTAGTGTTAACTTCCTTCTGCTCCCTATTAAAAGAGGAAATGCATGAAGGACAAAAATCTAGCACCTGACCGCTAACACTTGACCCCCACCCTCACCCCTTGGCTCAAAGATCCAAGTCACTGAGAATTCTGATCAAAGAGGCTAGATTGGGCTCAGGGCTCTCAAATTCACATATTTCTTTTTTTTCAAATTCAGTGTTATTATTGTTTCAGATCCACATTCTCCCCCCACCCCCAACCCATCGAGAAAGCCAGAAAAACCACCCCGGCCCCAAACTCGGGTCCGGGAACACGAGAGAATCCTCGTGGGCCAGGGCCCAGAGCCCGTCACCCCCCTCAGCAGGCGGGTGGGCTCCACGGAATGGGCTCCCCCATTTTCTGGAGAGTCCTCTAAGGGCCAAGGCAGATGCCAGCCTGTGGCTTTCATTGGACTAATCCCTCCTGCCCTGTCCTTTTTTCCACTGGAGGTGCAGTCACTGTGGCCCAGCCTGGGGCCTGTCTCTGAGGTTTGCAACAACCGTCCCACAACTCTGGCCCGCTCTCCCTCCACAAGTTTAAGAGAGGCCTGCCAGCCACGCTCCCCACCTTCTCCCTCCCAGAGCACCGCGTGCTCCTTCTGTGTCTGTGCTGCATAGACCTAGAATGTCCCTGTCAGCCCCCCACCATCAGGGCGTCAGTTCCCTGAGGACTGGCCCCAAGGGTCTAGCATGGCCTGTGGCACACAGTAGGGGCATCACAGCAGGACCCTGAGATTGGGGAAGAGGAAGACACTGTGCAGACAAGAGACTTGGGGGAAGATTCCGGCCCAGAAGATGCCAGGAAAAAAGTGTGCGACGGAAACTCTGACCAGGATTCAGTGACCAGCTGGGCAGTGCCCTACGGGGAAACTCAGCCATCAGCTCCAGCGTTGGGACCACCACCCGCCATGACCACAAGCTACCAGGATACGGAGGGCAGGCCCCAACAGGTCACTAAGGACCTGGACACACGGACCTGCTCAAAAGCATCCTTAGAGTCAGCATCAAGCATCAGAGCTGGGAGGAGCCCTAAAACAGGGGATGTCAGAGCTGGGAGGGGCCTCAGGACAGGGGATGTCAGAGCTGGGAGGGGCCTTAGAACAGGGAATGTCAGAGCTGGGAGGAGCCTCAGGACAGGGGATGTCAGAGCTGGGAAGGGCCTGAGAACAAGGGGTGTCAGAGCTAGGAGGAGCCCTAGAACAGGAAATGTCAGAGCTGGGAGGGCCTTAGAAATTACCTTGCCAACCTCTTTCTTTTAACAGCTGGAGAAAATGGGGCCCAGTCAGGGGAGATGACTTTTTCACATTCACATGGGAGTTAATAGCCAAGCCAGGACTAGATCAGGTCTTCAGATAAGGAATGTGGGGTGTCTCCTATCCTCCATAGAACCCCCTAGAGCTATGGGTCTTATTTGGGATGGACTGTTCCCCCCTAAATCCAGCTGGGCTTCCTGCCCTCCAGAATCTTACACTCCGCTTTCAGGCAAAAGGAACCTTCAAGAACCCCTTCTAAACACCTTGGATTTATTTTATTTATCCTATATATTTGTTGAAAGCATTTATCCAACCCCCACCCCAGCCTTTCCCCAGTGGACTCCCCACAACACTTAACTGCCAAGCCTTTAAAGAAACCCAGAATGGGGGCAGCTAGGTGGCACAGTGGATAGAGCACCGGGTCCTGAAGTCAGGATGACCTGAGTTCAAATCTGGCCTCAGAGCAAACACTTGACACTTACTAGCTATGTGACCCTGGGCAAGTCACTTAACCCCAATTGCCAAAAATAAATAAATGAATGAATGAATGAAGTAACCCAGAATGAAAGAGGACACTCAGTTGGCCTACTCTTCAGTAGGCTTTCTGTTGCTAAATTCAAGGCCCACAGGCTTTCTGTGTGACCACCAGCCTGTCCACGGCTTAGGATCTGAGTTTTCTTGCCTTTTAAACTTCTGGGCTTTTTCTGTGTCCTGACAGAGTTAAGCTGAGGCCCCCAGAGGGGCGGTGACTTGACCAGAATCTCACTACTGATTAGCAGCAAAGTCAGGACTATAATGGGGAGGCTCACCCAGGCCATCCCAGCACCTTCCAAGCCCACTTCCCCTTTGCAGAAGCAGAGAAGCCAGAGGCTCCAGAGGCATCTGACCAGCCTCTATAACATCCTTGGAGGGTGGTCTTCCAGCTCCTAAAAGGCCATGTGGTGGTGCCATGCGTGCTGCCAGACTTGGAGTCTGGAAGACCAGAATCATGCCTGGGACACTTACTGGCTGTGTGACCCTGGACTTAACCTCCCTCAGCCTCAGGGAATATAATTGTAAGGAGAGAGAAAATTCCTGGAAAAACAGGCTTTTAAAAAGCCCTTGGGTTTCAGATGGAGCTAGCTGGCTTGCCTTTAAAGCTAGATCCCTCTGGCTTTCACTGAATGGCCAGTAATGGCTCCCAGGTTCTGATGCCTTAGAATGAGTGTAAATAGCACTTATTTTCTGTTCTGGCCAGAAACTCGGAGGGTCTTCCCCCTCTCAGACCCATATTTTTGTGATGTTAAATCAGGCCATCTTTTGCCTCAGCTCTTACCCAGCCCTGGCCTCAGATGAACTGAGGCCCGGGCAAGACCTTACTTTAGAAAGGCCAAGGTCGCCCACTGCACCCCAGGCCATGGCCAGTCATCTGGACTTCCCATGACCCAGGAGGAGTCTGCTGGCCCTGCCTCGCTTCCATCCAGTTCTCAAGAGAGTCCAGACATCACCCTCATAATGTCATTGGTCCTCTTCCCGAACGAAGGACGAACAACAATTCGCAAACCTGAAAGTGCTACATAAATGCTGTTGTTGCTGCTGCCTTCTCACCCAAAGACCCCCACTGATGGGGGCTCCCCTATCATTCCAGCTCTGGACAGCTCCCATCCTTAGAAAGTCCAGCTGAAACCTGCCTCTCTGCCTACCCCCCACATCCCCCCAAACAACAGACAGCCAAGGGCAGTGATGGCTCGGCCCTCACCTGTCAATCACCAGCTCTAGGAGTACCACGTGGGAAAGCTGAGTGAACTCAGGGTTCCCTTCCTCATGGTCATAGTGCTCCAAGAGAGACACCAAGTCCAGGTCACAGGACACCTTGTCAGGGAACTTCCAGGAAGGGAAACGCACTGCCCCCGCTCGGGAGAACACGTCCACGATGGCTCCTTGCAGGTCCGTGATGTCCTTCCTCAGGCTCTCCATGCAGCTCTGGTTCCCCAGCAGGTGGGCCATCTTGCAGGCCAGAAGATGTTCTGGGGGGGGGTAGGCGAAGGAGCTGGCTCCAGGGGCCGCCTCCCTCCTCTCTGGGCCTCAGTGGCCTCAGCTGTAAGTAACATGAGTGACTCTCAGGCCCCCTCAAACTTTAATTCAGAACCTCCCCAGCTCTGAGCTCTTCTGGATGGGAACCTTCTACCACCCCCAACATTGCTGAGCTTGGGTGGCCATTCCCCTTGGAATAGAAGCTCCCAGGGGAGAGGGATTGCTTTGAGGCTTGTATTTGGGGTAAATGTTTAATAAATGCCTGTTGACCAACAAACTTTAATTGGCTTCCTTTGTAATCCTGCTTCGCCGTTATACTTTTAAAAATATTGTTCTGAGGCTTCCCTAGGTTTCATCAGATTGTCAAAGGGATCGGCCCTGGTGGAGGGATCTCCTGGGAGCTCCTCACCGATCCGCCCAGCTTCACAGAGGGAGCCTGGAGCCCCAATCTCTCCATCTTAAGCCTAGCCTTCTATGTTGAAAGGGTGATGAAAAGAAGGGCTAAGAAGAGCCCGGCAGAACCAAGGGTGATTTCAGATTTCCTTGATGGAGCTCAGCCAGCCTCCTCTCTCTTGGTCTTATGTGTATGTGAACATGTCGACCCCATGGAACCTAAGCTCATTCAGGGCAGGGACTTGTTTTATCTGGGTAATTGCAACCTGGGTCTCTAGCCTAGTAACTGAAGTATGTGGGGGGGGGGAACCACCCGATGGGGATGGGGGTTGAGGTGGGTCCCTGAAAGGTAGGGAGTCTTAGATGGGAAAAGAGGGAGGCTGTTGGGGTGAGGAGACAGGGCCTGAGGTAGGAGAGGTTCCCAGAGGTAGGAATAGGGCTGTGGAATGGGGTGATGGTGGAGTGGCATCTGAGTTGAGAGGGGCTCCCGGGTGGGGGAGGCTTCTGGTGGGAGGGTCTCCCTTTAGGAGAACAGGGCTCCTGAGGTGAGGGTGGGACTCTTGGGAAAGGAGGGGTGCTCTCCGAGATGGAGGGGCCTAGGGATAGACAATACTGGGGGGCTCCTCCAGGAGGGCAAGGCTTTGGTTGGGACTGGCTCCCCAGGTGAGGGTAGGTGCTCACTGAGGTGGGAAGGGCACTCCTAGGGATGGGGACAATATTTCTAGGGTGGGTGTTCCTACAGGAAGAGCCGGGCTTTGGATGGGATGGGCTCCCCAGGTGACGGCAGGTGCTCCCTGAGGTGCGAAGGGCGATCCCAGGGATGGGGGCGAGATTTCTGGGTTAGGGGGCCAGGTGGGCTGGGGACCTGGGGCAGGAGAGGGGTGGAGGGGACCCCGAGCCGTCACTCCGAGCTCACCCGCCCCCGGCAGCGCCGCCGCAGCTCTCGGAACTGTTCCCGCAGCTTCTTCCCCCCCCCACCCCCCCGGGAGTCCCGGCCTCCGCTGCAGCGCTTAGCCGAGTACCCGGGGCCACCCGCCCGGCCGTCTCCATGGCAACGGCGTCTCTACGTCCGGCGTGCGCGGGGGGGCGGGGAAGAGGGCCAACGGAAGGCGAGGGGCGGGACCGGAAGCGCGTCGCCCCGCCTCCTTCGAGGCGGTCCCCAGCGTGGCCGCCGCCATCTTGTGGGCGCCCGGCTCGGCCCGGACGCAGCGCCGCTCGCGCGTAGACCGCCGTTGGAGCCGCAGCCCCCAGCGCCGCAGACATGCCGGCAGGCCCGGTGCAGGCGGTGCCGCCGCCGCCGCCCGTTGCCACGGAGCCCAAGCAGGTAGCCGGCTGGCGGGCGGGGAACACCCTCTGCCCCGCTGGGCCCTGTCAGCTGGTGGGAGGGGAGGGAAGGGGAGAGGAACTGGAGGCTTTGGGGCCGCCGTGGCAGGGAGGGAGACGGACTACAGGTCCCAGGAGGCATCGCGCCGCCCGCGCCGCGCGGCCCCCTGGGAGCCGGGCGAGGACGCTCTAGGCCAGGGGAGGCCTGCTGCTCTGTGGGATTGTGTGGAGCGCCCGCCATTGGCGCCAGAGAGCGCTTGCTGTGTGCGGACCGCCCACGGTCCCCGCTTGCCCTCCTGGGCAGGCTCGGGGAGAGGAGCAGACACGGCTCGTTGTACATGCGCCCCCCGCCATCTGTATTGATCACGTTTGTTGCTGCGCAGTCGCGTCCGACTCTGTGTGGCCCCATGTGGGGTTTTCTTGGCAGAGACGCTGGAGTGGTTTGCCATTTCCTTCTCTAGCTCATTTGACAGATAAGGAAACTGAGGGCAGCAGGGTGAAGTGATTAGCTCGCGGTCACCCCGCTAGTGAGTGTCTGAGGCTGGATTTGCACTCAGGAGGAGTCTTCCTGACTCCGGGCCTGGCACTCTAACCTCTGTCACCCAGCTGCCCTGATATCACTGTTACTGCCCCCTGCTCCAGCATGGAATAGACCCTTCCCCGTCGTCCTGCCCATTTCCTGCCCTGCGGGTGCCCGCCCTGTCACTCTTCCTCCACATCCTGCTCCCGTTGGCTCTGGAAAAAGCATCTCACTGACCTGCCCTGTGGCTCCGGGACCAAAACGCCCTCCCTGGCCACCGCCCCCCCCCTTTGTGTGGTCTCCCTCCCGCACAAGGTGAACTCCCTTACAGTAGCAGCAACATGGTGAAGAAACAGAGTATCGACAGGCCCGAGAGCCGGTCAGTGCAACTGCCGGCCCCCGCTCCGGAGGACAGGTGATTGATTGAGAGCCGGGGAGCTCAGGATGAGAAATGGGACACATCCCATGTTTTCAGACCTGGGTGACGTGCCGTTTGTTTTTGCTTTCCTGGGCCTTTTTTTAGGGTTTATTCTTGTTTTTCAACGATGGATGGGATTTGGGGGAAAGGGGGAGAGAGGGTCTAGTGCCCCTCAGTGCGGAAAAAGAAGCATTTAGTAATGATTAATAATTGCTAGCACTTATGTAAAACTGTACAAATATTATCTCACTTGATCCTACCATGTACTTGGCGGTGGACATTATTATTTAATTTTACAGATGAGAAAACTGAAGCAAACTGACAGAACAGAAGAAAGTTCAGGACAGCTGGTTGAATGTATTACATGCTTTAAAAAAAAAGCAAAAACTACATAATAGATATTTGTGGTTTAGTATGTAGTTATCTTTTCCTGTTCTACTTTATATTTGGAATATATATTTATATTTCTGTTCCATTTTATGTTTATATACCCTTTTTGGTGTTAAGTTTAGACTTTCAAAAAAACTTTTTAAAGAATGTAAGCTATTTGAGGGCAGAGACTGTCTCCCATTCGTATCCCCAAAGCTTAGCACGTAGTAAGTGCGTAATCATTTTTTCAGTTCATTCATTCACCCAGCTGCCAGATGGAGTTTAAGAAAGCCGTGTTAGCCCCTCGATTCTCCTTCTCAAAAAGTTTCATTGCTTCCAGAATAAAATGGCCATCTGTCTGACATTTAAGGCCTTTCACAAAATCTGGCACTAGCCTGTCTTTTTTTTTTTTAAGTTTTCAATTGTGTATTATCAATAAACAGTTCAGATACAAAAAAAAGGAGGGGAAAGATTACGCAAGAAATTGTACTTTTGTCACATGGTTATAAAAGATGTATGCAAAGTTTAACAAGGTAGTAACAAAATTGCTGTCTTTGGGTCCCCTCCGACCCTTCTGTGCATGTAAAAAAAATGTTTTATTGGTACACTAATCCACCGTCCCTCCTCAAAGCCCTTTCATAAGAAACTTCCATAGTAGAGCAAAACAGGTCAGCACATTCAGCCTCTCCACCCCCCCACCCCAGATTTTCCCATTACTTCTTCTCAGACCTCTGCCTCCCTGCGTCCCTAACTGGCCTCTTTGCTGTTTCCTAGCCAAGCCATTGCTTTCCTGCCTTATGGACTTTAGTACAAGTTGTTCTCCATGCCTGGGGCATTCCCCTCCTCACTCATGTTCAGAATAACCCAACTCCCTTGAAGGCTTTAAGGTCCAAATAGAATGCCACCTCTTCCAAGAAGCCTTTCTGGAATCCTCACCCCACTCCTTTGGTTTCTCTCTGTCTCTCTCTCTCTCTCTCTCTCCTCTCTCTCTCTCTCTCTCTCTCTCTCTCTCTCTCCCTCTCCCTCCCTCTCTCTCTCTGTAGAAAGGTAGTAATCAGCAAGCATCCATTAAATGCTTGCTATTTGTTGAGTACTCCATAGTCACCAGAAACACAAAGACAGATACAGAAGAGCCCCTTTCCTCAAGGAACTTGATTATGTCAGGGAAAACAAAGTGTCCCAGTTTAACTAGATCTTTGTGTATATTTTTGCATCTAGTTATCACTGCATGAGTCGTCCCACACCCATCCCCTAAGCTCCTTGAGGGCAGAAACTTTGATTTTTCTCTTCATGGCACTAATGCTGGGCACAGAATAGCCAGGAAATGTTTATTGAATTGAATTACATTGTGGTTGTTCGGTCGTGTCCTATTCTTTGTAACCTCATGAATCATAGCACGTCAGGCTCTTCTGTCCTCCACTCTCAGTCTGTCCAGGCTCGTGTGTGTTGCTTCCATGATGCCATCCATTTCATCTTCTGTTGTCCCCTTTTCCTTTTGCTTCAGTCTTTCCCAACATCAGGATCTTTTCCCATGAGTCCTGGCCTTTCATTAGGTGGCCAAAGAATTTAGGCTTCAGCCTCAGTGTTTGACCTTCCAACCTGGATTAATTTCTTTAAGTATTAACTGATTGGACATCCTTACTGTCCAAGGGACTCCAGAAAGTCTTCTCCAGCACCACAATTCCAAAGCATCGATTCTGTGGCGCTCAGCTTTCCCTCTAGGCCCTCTCAGAGCCATCCATGGCTGTTGGAAAAGCCACAGCTCTGACTGTACTGACTCTGCTTTTCAGCCCGCTGTCCAGATTCTCCAGAGCTTTCCTTCCAGCAGGCAGCCGTCTTTTAATCTCATGACTGTAGTAAGCCACACAAACTGACCCAGCCTGTGATGAAGCCTGACAAAGTGGGCCTGTTGATTCACACCTCTAATCCTCCTCCTCCCCAGCTTGCCTCTCAGCCAGCAGGAAGGATTCTGCTTCCCCATCAGTCCTCTGGAGGCAAGTTTAGTCATTGCAGGGGTCTGAATTCTGCCTCTTAATGTTGTCTTTATATCCTGGTGGTCCTTTATGTCTGTTCCTTGGGGACTGGAGGAGCTGTCTGAACCCAGCTCTGTGTCTGCCAGGGCCTGCTTATTTAGCATGGCATCCTCCATACCCCAGCCCAGCAGGCACCAGATGTTCATTGAATGCTGTAGTTGAGTCCCTGGGGGCGAGAATGCTTGGGAACACATCTTGTGAGGCTAACACTACGTGTCAAAACAAAAAACACTCAGTCTCTTGGGGTGAGGGATGAAAGGAAAAGGAAGCCTTGCAGAGGCACCTCGTGCTGCTCTGGGACCCTTTCTCCCTCCTTATCTTTGCTGACTGAAATGGCCCCCCCCACCTTCCCCCTGCCTTCCTTGGCAGCTTCATCTGCCTCCCCTCACCTGTCTGCTTTGCACAGACCCTTGTTTTACCTAAGCTTTTTCTATCACCCCGGGACATGGCCACTACAAATGTTTAATGCATTGGAAGCTTCATTGGGGCACCTCCCTGAAGACTCAGGTGTAAGAGAGCCCCAGTGAGAGAGTCAGGCTCCCTCCTCCCACTCTCCCCCAATACTTCTGTGATGGTAAATGAAGATAGCGCCCATCTTGGCTTTTTGAGGGGCAGCTAGGTGGTGCAGGGGATAGAGCTCTGGCCTTGAAGGCAGGAGGACATGAGTTCAAATCTGGTCTCAGACACGTGACACTTATTAGCCGTGTGACCCTGGGCAAGTAACTTAACCCCAATTGCCTCACCAAAAAAAGCAAAAAAACAACATCTTGGCTTTTCATCCCAAAGTAAGGAAGGAAGGATCTGAGGGTTCTTTGCTCTCTTGTTTGCCCACTCCAGAGCTGGAAAGATGTCCTCTGGTGTCTTTCAGCACTCAGCCCACTCTGCCCCCACCCCACCCCACCCCACAGCCTGAATAGCTTGAGGTCTCACCTCCTTGCCTCTTCACCTGTAAATTCTTCTTCTTTCCATGAACTCAGCAGTCACCCCCACCCCCAGGACACTCATTCCCACCTGCTAGAGAACACTGGCGAGGAAACAGAAAAGGGCCTTCTGAGAATGGGGGCCTGGAGCAGGGCCAGGGGCTGGCCGAAGCACAGGGGACCAGTGTAGATGCTTGGCCATCCCCTTTTGTCCCCTTCCCTTAAGGGGCCTGACCTTTGGTTTTGGATACCATCCTAGCTAGAGCACTCCGGCCTCAGGAGTTCAGCCCTCCCCAAACAGGGAGAGTTTGTTGGGGGAAACACACAGTTGGGGGGGGGGAAGTCTGCTAGGGCATAGATGGGGAAGAGAACAGGGGGTGAAGAAGAGTATGTCCAGGACAGAAAATA